AAGTGTGCAGGCAGCGGGAGCGGACCCGAGCGAAATGAAGAGCAGCGGAAAGACAAAGGAACCAACAGGGTGGGAAAGTGTGTGTGTGGAGGGAGAGGGGGGGCAGCCGCCAGTCTGCCTCATGGAGCCGCACGGGCCCGTGGGAGAGGAAGAGAGGGTGAAAGAACAGAGCTGGGCGAGGAGGGGCAGAGCAACTTGGAGGGCAGCAGAGAGGGGGCAGCCACATGCATCGGGGATGCCCGAGCCATGCTTGTCCCTTGGATGGCGGCGGTGGGAACGAGCCCTCTGGCAGCACTGAGTGTCAGAGAGGGTGCGGAGGAAAGGGAGAGAGGCCGGCTTTATGCCCTCCCATAATAATAAAGAATTAACCCCTTGCTTCAGCAAGTCTCCAAGCTCTTTACACAGGAGGTGGCACCGCTGCCTCCACTTTACAGATGGGGAAACTGAGGCACAGAGGGATGCAGAGATTTGCCCCAAATCACCCAGCAGGCCTGGGTCAGAGCTGGGAACAGAAACCAGGTCTCCCTTTGTTCAAACCAGCAGGCAACACTTCCTCCCATTAAAGCTAGGGAAGCCATTGAATTCTGCAGGGCTTTCCTGCTGCAGGGGTTGGCTGTGTTGAGACACACCTGAGGACTAGCCCAGGGTGGAAATGGGGGCATGACACAAATAGACAAAGGGATGGTTGGTGACCAACCCTATTTTGAGAGGAAGCCCTGGAGGAGACGGGTGAAACCGTCCAGTGGAGTATCTCCCTTGTGATGGGGGGCACTGAACCCACGCTACTGGGCAAATTCACCCTACTGTAAATGGGTGCGACTCCTCTGAAAGCATTTCCACCCAGCTAGGATCTGGCCCACAGTCTGTAATTGTATCATTACAGACCGTGTGCATGGGATTAAGCCATGTGCATGGGGATTAAAACATGTGCACGGGATTATGCTGCACGGGATTACACCATGTGCACGGGATTATGCCATGTGCACGGGATTACGCCATCTGCCCGGGGATTAAAACGTGCACGGGATTATGCCATGGTCATGAGATTAAGCCATGTGCACGGGATTAAGACAGGTGCACGGGATTACACCATGTGCACGGGATTATGCTGCACGGGATTACACCATGTGCACGGGATTACGCCATATGCACGAGGATTAAAACATGCCCGGGATTGAGCCATGGTCATGAGATTAAGCCATATGCACGGGATTAAGCAATCCAGAAATGCCCCCAGTTGGTGCACTGGGTAGCAGGGAGCTGGCCCAACCTGGAGTTAAGCACTGGAGTTCTAACAATGTTCCCAGCCTGCTAAAAGAAAGAACAAATCTAATCCAGGCCTGGTTCTCTCTTCATTATTTCCCCATTTTAGTACGGCTCTGCTGGACCTTGTCTGTACTAGCAAACCTGAACTGCTTTTATGACACCCATTGAAACCTCTGCTAGTCAAATCAGTGCAAACCTCTCCTGCCGGGGCACTTCAACCAGTTTCACTCTCGCTGGGGTGGGTCTGGCTTGTGCCAGGTGCACACAAAATCAACATAAGCCCGGGGAAAGCGGTTTCCATGGATTTACACAAGGCCGGGTTCTGCACCAACGTCACTAGAGCAGTTCGGGTGCATCGCAAGAACGCCTCCGTTTGCTGCTCCTCGGCGTGTCAAATCCGCCTCCATGCCCGAATGGGCTTCTGCTGCATTTTTCTAGTATGGACAAGGTCTTAGCCTTTCTGGGGCATTGGGACAGTTCTTTAGTCCAACTCCCTTAGAAAGACAAAGGAGGAATCCCTCGGGGCTTCCCTTTGTCCAGAGGGACCCCCCACTCCACGCTTTCTCTCTGGATGACCCTCCTCTCCTGGGTGCAAAGGAAGCAGAAACCTTCTGCACGGCCTGGACTGAGACCAGCCCTGCAACTATGGAGGCAGGAGAGCTGACTCCTACCTATCTAGATAGTTCGATGACCCACAGTGTGGTACCTGAGCACTCGCCGCCACTAATGGGTCCCCCACCAGCACCCTTGCGAGATCAGAGCGTATTATCTGAGACACAAGGTAGAGGAGGAGACTTGCCCAAGGTCACATGGAGATTCTGTGGCAGAGCCAAGAACTGCAGCCAAGTCTCCAAAGCCTTGGTCCAGCGACCTGCCCACTAAATCTCCCTCCCTGTAGCCCCCTTCACAGTGGGCATCTCAGGGGCAGGCCAAGAGAGGGCAAAGTTGCCACAGTCTGTAGCAGGCAGAGCTCCTGGCCTGGGACCACTACAGCTCCAGACAGCCCCCTCCTCGCCTGGACCCCACATGAGCTGATGGCAAAGGAAGCTCTGACCCATGCCCCAGTATGGCAAGGACTCTGTTCCTTCCACGTCTCAAGCCCAAGAGGGACCATCGGGCTAAGTCCCCCTCTCCCTCGGCACTGCCCGCCCTGCCCTGCCAGGCGCAGCTTACCGCGGAGTTGAAGCGGAGGTGGCAGATGTTGCAAGAGATGAACTGCTTCTTCTTGAGCGGGGAGGGGACGCCGAAGGTGTGATTGAACACGGCCTTCTGAACGGGATCCATCTGGAAGGGGAGGGAGGGCAGAGGGTCACACGGCGCTGGGAACACAGACCCACAAGGCACCCTGTCCAGGCTCGCTGCCGGAGGGACACGCAGAATCCCTGCCCGGCCCAACGATCCAGCTGGGGATCCTTTGCTTCCTTGCTGAAGGGACCTGCCAACACCTCGCACGCCCGGCTCCTTTCTCTAATTTCCCTCCACTCTGGCAGGGAAAACAGAGACCTTCTGACTCAGGCCTCGGCAGGCGAAAGAGCATTTCAGAGCCCCTGCAGTCGACAGGTCTGACGTGCTGGCCTCCAGGTGTTGTCTGGGCAGAAGCCAGACTTCCCCCCTCTCTCCTAGCATCCAACCCACTCTGCCAGGTGGCCCAAACGTCCCTACCCCTTTATATTGGTACGGCAGGGGCCACAAGAGGGCGCTGTTTACTGTCTCGCCAGACCTTTTTCTTCCCCTCTCAGCTGCGTGCTGTCTTGGAGTCTTGGAAGAATTGTGGCCTTGTTGTTCATTTTACAATGCCCATTCATTCTCCCAGCGGCGCTGTAGCAAGCAGCGGGGGATGTTGGTCCCTGCCTCGGTCTCTCCAACAAGAACCAATTCTTGCTCTGGGGGAACCGGGCGCCGGTGTTGGCCCGAGATGTCAGGGAGCGCAGCTGTGCCTGCATGCTGTTTGTGATCGCCTCTGCTGAAGGACGGCTGCCCACGGTGGAACCAGAACAAGCGACCCTCAGAAAACGTGCGGGTTCTGCATCGCTCATGTCCCCCCTTTGGAAACCAACGTGCAGGGCCCCCGTGCTGCACTTGCTCACAGAGGGGTGATATTTCCTCTCACTTTCCTGCTTTCCCTTGCCCATGGAGTATCTCCAGTCCTGCCCCAGCACCGGGGAGAAATAATTCCTCTTTGTCACCACCCACAGACTTCAACACCCGTTAAGTCCACCCGTGAGAGCTGGGAATTATTACCCCTCTCCCCTTTACACACAGGGCCAGAAACACCAAGACTGAGAGATGGACATATAGCAAGGGAGTGGAAGTGTCAGGAAACAAACCCAGGAGTCCTGGCACCTAGTCCCCCGGCCAACTCTTCAGGGATTGCTCCAGGAAGTGCTCAGAGATTCGCCCTCCTCTCCAGTCACTTCTCTGTTCACAGCAGACATCAATCAGTGTCGCAGAAGGCAAATGATCAGTTTTCACTTGAGGTCTCCAGGAGGGATACGAATGTATAACCGGTTAACTGGTTACCCAGGAAGCATCACTGTTACGGGGTGATGCTTACTGAGTACTGGTTAACCAGTATCCAGAAGCAGACCCAACCCGCAGCCTGCCACGGAAGAGGGCTGCTCCACTCCTGGGAGGGGTGGGCAGGCGCAGGAGCCGGCAGCCCCACAGGCTGAGGACTGCTCCAGCTGGGCCAGCATGGTCCCATTTGGGATCCCACTTAATCACTTTACATTACCCCACATCCACAACAGGCCCCGACCCCACAGCTTCCACTGGCCCCAGTTCTCCATTACTGATCAATGGGAGCTACAGGAGCAGTGTCTGCAGGCAAGGAGACAGCACATGGAGAACCCCATGTGCTGACCCGCCTAGGGGCTGCAGGTACATGCCAGCCACTTTACACTAGAGATGTAAAAACCAGGGTTTTACAACTCTAGTGCCCAGTTGCCATCAGTGCTCCCTGTAATCTTTTCCATCCACGTGCACATTTTTCCATCCACATGCAGAATAATTTTTTTCTGTGCACCAAGGTATGTGCACCACCATTAGAAACAAAAAAAACAACCCTATCTGTGGGTTCTCTGCTAATCTATTGGGCGGCATTGGAAACTCCCCTGAGCGGCTGGCTGTACAAGCACACAACTTACAGGGAATACCGGCTGCCGTCCTCAGCAGCCCAATGAAATGGGTGTGTTGCCAGGTGACTTAGCCAGAGCCTCAGGCATTGAAACAGAGTCTCAATGTTTGGTCTTGGAGGTGGTAAAAACTAGTCGCCTGCCATTAACCCTCCGTTTACTGATAAGGGAGTGAAATTCCTGCCCAGGCAAGGCCAGCTGAAGTCCTACTCACTACAGGGTTTGCCCGCTGCATGCCGGCGAGTCTCACCCCAGGTACAACATTTTTCTGACCTCACAATGAGGCCGCATCAGGACACTCTGGGATGCAGAACCACTCTTTGGGGTGCAGCTCAGAACTCTGCAAATTCCCTGCTCTAACCCTCCCAACAGCTGCCCAGCCCACAGCTAAGGCATTCGCTGAGCTGCCATTTCTGGGAGCACTTTGACAGCAAGTTGCCTGCCACTGGGCTCTCAGTTAGATCGCTCACATGCCAGGAAAAATGCCATGACACGATGGGCCAGCAATGTCCCACGGCCCAGTGAGACTCTCAGGCAGGCCTCCCGCCTGGCACGGACCCACATGCCGCTCAAAGCAGCCCGCTGCTGGGGCCCACATGCTCTCTGCATGACATGCAGCCCTGAAGCAGGAGGCCTCCGCATGCTGCCCCTGCACCCAGCACAATCCTCGTAGCTCCCATTGGCTGGAAACTGGCCAATAGGAGCTGCCTGGGCTGTGCCCCCTGGAAAAGGAGTGCAGGTGCTGGCCCTGGCAGATGGCTGCTTTGAGTGGCGTGTGGGGCCATGGCAGGTGGGGAACCTACCTGGGGTCCCACTGGGCTGCTGGCTGGGAGTTGCCTAGGATAAAGGCCTCCCAGTAAGAGCCTGCACCTGGCATCCCACCCCCCACCCCCATATACCACAACTCCCTGCCCCAGGTGACTACCCAAGCCCTCTGCACCCCCTTGTACACCCCTGCTTCTGGTCACAACTCCTAGACCTTGCATCCCGAACCCCTCCCCCAAATCAGAATCCTCTGTTGTATCCATGCCCTCTCCCAGACCCTGCACCCCAATTCCCTGCTCCAGGCTACAACCCCCTTCTGCACCCAACCCCTATCCCAGACCCCACACCTCCTCCATTAATATTACAGAAGAGTGCGGCCCTGGACAACTTCCCAAACTCCCCATCAAAATTAGTTCCCACCCCTAATTTACAGGGATGGGAATCCCCTCACCAGATGTGCTGTGGGTCAGCTCACAGTCTCTGCCCCATCTGTAAAGTAGGGTATTAACCTTCCACCCTCCTGACTTGCCTATTTAGCTTGGAAGTACTTTGGGGAACACAGCGGCTTCCCCTATGGGTAAGGAAAGTGCCTAGTGCCAGCCAATCTCCACTGAGGTCTGCAATATAATGGCATTTGTTTTGCATGCCGTATCAAACTCTTATCCCGATTATTCTGTAACATGTTTTAATCAGCCGAGGAGTCCTCCCACCCCTGGGATTCCCCCGGGCACATGCACTTGCTCTGCAAGCAACCCAACGCACTCCGGCGATTTACAACAGGCTGCGTCTTTGTGCGAGGCCATAAAGGCAGAGGTTGTGAGGTGAGGCAGTCGCGCCCCGATCAGCAACAACCCCCGGTGGATCCAGCCTTGCCGTGCTGGGCACTGTCATTTTATTCCGCAGCCCGAGTGGTAAACCGACCCGAAAAGCTGTAATTGTTTTAAAGAAAAATGCATTTACACAGGGAGGAAAAAAAAATAAGAATCATCTCTTTGTAGGCGCGCAGCGATAATCTAGAATGCAAGGATTGTTCCGCTGCTCAGCGGCACAGGAAGATTATCTTATCTGCGTCCTGCTGTCAGTGGAGCCCGGGGTTTCGAGGCGATCGTATTTCTCTGCAAAGCTATTTAGTCGCAGAGACAGGTGCATCAGTCTTCGGGGCACATGCCTGGACAACAGCGCCATTATCAAGACCCCAAATTCCATTCCAGGAGTGAGCAGCATGGTAATACCCAGTGATTAATGAAGTGCCTGTTCGCCACGGAATTTCACTCACTTATCTGGAATATAAATGAAGAGGCATTTGGGTTCTGATGGGGGGGACCGGAGGCGTCTAGCGATGACAAGGCCGCGGCTCCACCCATGGCAGCCAGTGTAGCTGTGCACTCACAGCAGGAAGGCACACAGTGCCAAAACACAAGAGGAATCTCCGCATCAGGGCGTTGTGACCAGGCTGTTCCCTTACTGGAATGGCCCAGCGTTTTCTCTCATCAGTGCTGCTCTTCTGCAGGGACAGGGCGAGTTCTCCGGGTCATAGAACAATAGGGCTGGAAGAGACCTCGGGGGGTCATCAAGTCCAACCCCCTGCCCAAGGCAGGACCAGTCCCAACTAAATCAACCCAGCCAGGGCCCTGTCGAGCCGAGACTTAAAAACCTCTAGGGATGGAGAGTCCACCACCTCCATAGGTAACCCATTCCAGTACTCCAGTACTGTAAACAGCCTCTCTCCATCCTCTTTGGAACCTCCCTTCAGGAAATTGAAGGCTGCTATCAAATTCCCCCTCGCTCTTCTCTTCTGCAGACTAGCCATGTGTCTAGCGCCTCAGGAGGGAACAAAGATCCAGAGGAGTCGGGAGGGAGACGGAGCGCAACATACAGCTTGAAGAGGAAACCCAGAGTGGGAAGTTCAGGAAGGCAGATGATATTTCTTGGGTTTGGTGGTTGTCCATCACAACCACCAATCACAGCCAAGGATTTCAGACATTGGAGAGTCCCAGGCATGCGACTCAAACCCCGGAAAAATGTCGCACTCTCTCAGGGCTGTGGTTAAGTCAGCCTGACCCCTTCTATCAACAGAAGCAGCCTCTAGCTACCTCAGAGGCTATGTCTAGACTGCAGGTTTCTTTTGGAAGAAGCTTTTCCGGAAGAGATCTTCTGGAAAAACTTCTTCCAAAAGAGAGCGTCTACACAGCAAAAGCGCAACAAAAAAGCGATGTGGAACGAGAGTGTCCACATTGATTGAACGCTATCTCGCATTTCAGTTGTGATTACTGTGGACGGACCTGTGCTTTTTCCTGGAGGCCTCTTCTTTTGAAAAAACACTCTCTTCCATGTCCACACACGTCTTTTTCCGAAAAAGCCTTCCTTGAAGAAGGAGGTTTACCG